CCCTAGAGGCCCTAGAGGAAATGTTGAGGCCACAAATGTGAATCCAACAGAGTTATGAGAGTGGTAGTTGCCTCATATGCCCCTATGGCTCAGTGACTGCACAGGCCGGAAGCCCATTTACCACATATGTGAAGCGAGTTGACATGGAAAGTGAAATTTTCGCTGGTGTCTACTGTTGTTTGCCTTGGAACGTGTGATCACCCTTCGCTATCCCAGCGCAGGCAGGTGCCACGTCGCTATCATCATGCACTTGCCTTTCGGACTTTGTGAACACGGACCCCAACAACCCTGCCATGTGCGAATGCGGCCTGGATTTGGCTTCGACCCAAGCTGCGGAGTCTGCGCCCTCTGTCCCAAAGGAACTTACAAGGTTAGTGCTGGCAATAGCCTTTGCTTAAATTGTCCGAAAGATCAGTCCACCTTGGAGTTGGCTTCGAAGCAGCCGCAAGATTGCCTCTGCCTGCCCGGCCGCAGCTTCATGGAGGACAGCTGCGTTGACTGTAGGCCGGGCTATTTCTGTAATGGCACTGGCATTGCCTTTGCCTGCCTGGAAGGTGCTATCTCAGTGCAAGGATCCAGGTCCTTTGAAGAATGCCTGTGCGAAGTTGGTTGCTACAAAATCGGATCTTCGTGCACTCTTTGCCCCAATGGCCGTTACAAGCCATACCGTGGCAATGATGCAACTTGCCCTTTGCAATGCCCTACAAGCTCATCAAGTAGGAACGGGTCTAGCAGACTTGAAGACTGCTTTTGTTTACCTGGCCACTATGCCATGTTCGAAACAGGTTCTCTGTCGCGGTGCGTGAGCTGTACGAAGCTTTCCGCTCTTCGGTGCCCAGAGGGATTTCAAGAGATGGGCCTTTACCAGCTGCCCGTGGCCTTGCCCGGATACTATCAGACGCGTCTCGATACTGCGTTCCCTTGCATGTTGTCTTAGAGGATGGCCAACTTACCTGCTTGGGTGGCGGCAAGTGTGAAGGCAACAAGACAGACACCAGTGAGAGAACCTGTGTGGGGGGGACTACGGCAACGCATGTCGTGAAGGATCGGTGGGCTTTTTATGTGCCGAATGCCCTCCTGGCTGGGCAAGGACGGCTTTCCAACTGCCGTGCCAGCCCTACCGGAAGTCTATGTTTCTGCTATTCGGATCTGCTTTTGTAGATGTGGGAAGCAAGGCTGCGATCAGCTTTGTGGTGGCCTCCATGGCTGCAACTTCGGCAGTGCGTGGCAGCAGCAAGCTTCACACTATCATGCTACGCATCACGACTCACTAGCTCGCGGCGTGTTCTGTTATCACTAATTTTCGACTTGGAACAAATCCCAACTGTCTACGTGGATGAGCAGAATCAAAACATGGAAAACAGAGCAACACTTTCCTGGCCGTTAGTAATCACCGTGGCAATGCATTTTTCGACGCGTTAAGTCTGACCAGCAGGTTCACTGCCAGCCAGAGACAAGGACAGCAGCCACAGTCACCAAAACAGGAAGACTCGCGAAGTAGAGACCCAAAGCAACACGTGGAGCAGCTGGATTCTCAGGAAACATGACCTGGGCACGGCGCGCTGAAGTCAATGGAAACTAAAGCTGGTGCCTCTGGCAGGACGGTTTGGGCATTCCTTCAACGAGGTTGGTAAGCAGCGCAAAGCTTCTGAGAAATGGCAGCAGAAGCCGCGAGGCGATGGAGGAGATCTTGCAGGAAGCAAAGCTGTTTGACCTCGGCTGGAATAAGATTGAGCAGTCTGGAGCTACAAAAATGATGCTGGCAAAGCTCAAAGAAGCCGCTGCTCAGCCGGATGCCTTCTTGCGCCAAGCGGTGGTGATATCGCCGACTCTGATGCGCTGTGCCTGTGCAGCCAGGGCCACATCGCAGCGCCTGCCCCTGGATGAGCAAGCTCTGGCGCAGATGAATCTGAAGCCCTTTCTTCGCAGCCAGGTGGCTGTTGAGGCTGTTGGATCTGCATGTCTTATCCACGATAAGCCTATATTTGGTACATTGGGTATTTACCCCAATACATAAATAAATAAATGAATATATATATATATGTATGTATATATATATTATAGTAGATGTCTACCCGATATGAACCTTAGAGAGCTCCTACACAGTATGACTCATGAAGTTTTCTGGAGGCAGACGACCTGGTATCCATGCTGGACAAGATCCTGAAAGCAGCTCCGTTGGGGCAGACCTCAGTTCACGAGCAGGCCCTAGGAGTTTCGGGTATTAGGGTTTAGGATTCAGGGTTTAGGGTTTAAGGCTTCAGGGCCCAACAAATCTGGATGAGACTGCAGCATTGTATGCTTTGACCACGAGCAGCATAATTGAAAAACATTGCAAGGCAGCTAGAGGACTTGTGCTACTATTCCTACATGGTAGTTTCCCAAAATAGGGAGACCCCAATTTAGACCCAAAAATACTATAGTCCTTTTTTAGGGGCTGCTGCCGTTTTTTCTTCTAGGCATGAAGCCTACATAACGGGAAACTATTATAGTACATTCGGGTTATATAGGGAGAATGGAAAAGAAAATGGACACTACTATATTCTAATAGGGTTTATATAGGGGTTGTATAGGGATAATGGAAAAGTATATGGAAACTACTATAGTATACTACGGTAAGGTTCTATTCTATTCTCTGTCTGGATTTGAGACCTGGGTTCAAGGACCCTAAACCCTAAACCCTAATATAATGACCAGCTCTACGCACCTTCTAATATTCGTACATCGGCCTAAAGGGGAGTTTCCTACTAGGCGGCCCTAATATATACCCCAACATGGTAGACTCCCACTCATAGGGACCTCCCCCAAAAAAAAGGAACACCTAAACCCTAAACCCTAAACCCTAAACCCACATTTTTTGAAAAGCTCCCCATGTTTTGTCCTGTGGCTGCAGTCGCGGGAGCTGGGTCTTCAGCCTGGTGAGGCCTAGAGCCATGTCCTCTCGGTGGGTTTGGGTTTAGGGTTTAGGGTTTAGGGTTTATTACTGTTAATTTCTGTTACCAACAATCCTAATATTTAGCTGAAATTATAATTTCTACTGGGGTTCCAAATCCCTTAGAGCTCTAGGTGGACACCCCCCAACCTTTTCACATTGAGGATAAGGGATGTTTAGGGTAGGGTTTAGGGTCTTGGGGCGTAGGGTTTAAGGTTTGGGTTCAGGGTTTAGGGTTTGGGTTCAGGGTTTAGGGTTTAAGGTTTGGGTTCAGGGTTTTGGTTTAGGGTTTAGATATAATAGGGTCCTCGTATATTGCTATTATACCACTGTTACAGGGTGGGGGGTGGGGGGTCCACCGAACATGTCCTAGTTATGCTTCGTAGGGACTGTTGCAAGGGGCCACTCGAAGGGGCTATGTAGGATGGGTGATTAAACATAGGGGGGATGAAATACAGGGATTACATTGGAATCCATTTCCCCATTCCCAACTTAAAATGAGAACCCTAAAAGTACACATCAATATTCACACTGGGCTGGAACGCTACATAGAAAGGCATGACATATTAAAAGCAGATAGATAACACTTGCATACACAAAGTTCAGTATCACATCTCAATATGCAGTACATAGTTGTATTTGTATGTATGTGCGAATACTGGTGTTCGACAGTTTCATAATATAGACTTGCGCAACCTTTGACATCGCGTGTGAGAGCTGACCTGCTGTAGACACGAAAGCTGGGAGGCACGGTACACCGAGTTTCTGCGAGGCCTGCGCATGATTTGTGAGAATGCGTCGTAAATTATGGTTCCACACGTAAGCCCTGACATGGTCTTCCTGAACAGGCGGACTTCAACAAAGGGACCCACTAGTTGTTAAAGAAACGTCCGAAACGTCAGGTTTCAAGCCACCTCGGGACAAGTGGCTGAAGCAGGCATTGCCTAACAAGGCGCTTCGGTGGTTTTGTTGTGGGTCTGATGTTTTTGTGGATGGGTTTAGGGGTATTTTGCTTGGGGGGGGTCCTTTCCATCTGTTAGTAAAGGGGCACAATTTTTCTGTATTCCAAGGCAGATAAAATTTGACCTGAAGTCGGAAAGTCCTCCAAGTTGAGTCAGAATGTCACAAGGCCAGATTTCACCGTCAAGCACTGGCATGCCCGGAGAGGATATATGAGCCATAGTCTAAACTCCTTTAAGGGGGCTATATAGGGGTCATATAGAGTAGTCTTATAGGGGTTTATCAAGGGGGATATCAGGACCACTAGGAGCTTAGATTATAGCCCATATCTGAAAGGAAGTCAGGAGCGTAAGCAATCAGGAAGCTTGTTCCTTTGTTATGCTGGCATTCGGGTTTAGGTTTGGTTTCACGACCCCCGCCTTGATATCTAAGGACTTTAGGGGGGACCCCTAATAGGGACCCTTGTAGCTTCCGGGGGTTAATATGGGGACTACCTGGGGATATAGGGGTTATATAATGGCTATATAAGGGTTATATATGGTAATGGGATTAAGGGTCCCTATTAGGGGTCCCTCCTAAAGTCCCTAGATGCTAACGTCACTGTCAGTAAACATAACAAGTCCACCTCACCTTGACTTGCAGCCTGGGAGCGCATTTGCAGTGAGCCTCAGAAAAGTAAGGCCTGGCGGGCAATCTGCAAGCAAACAGCTGCTCAGGGTTAGGCATGTGAGGGGTGTACTTCATTATGGCCAAGGTTTCGGTTCTTTATGGCATAGGTATGTTCTTGGGTACATAGGGTGCCAAACAGAACCTAAAAGTAGAATCACTCCCATGTATTCTCATTACCAGGATAGGTTGCCCACTACTGCCTGCGTCATGGCTCCTCTTTTTTGGAGTTGTGCAATGAAGCCCCCTGCCCTACCCTCCGCCCCTATCAGGCTCAGTATCCCTCAGGCACTTTCCGCACACACATGCAGGTCCTACATACCAGGCATTTCATCAAGGGAATAGCCACGGATAACCTGTTTAACAATGTTACTCGCAATTCAGCGTGGTATTGCGCGGTTGGGGGCAAGGTCCAGGGGAGGCATAGCGCTCGGCGCGCCATGCTGCAAAGAGCCGGTTTTTCTCGAGGGGTCTACCTCGCAACAGAGGACCTCTGAAAAATCGAGACAAATGCTGAGGCTGAGGCTTAGATCTCAGGATATTGTATTTTGGTGAACTCAGTCTGTGGACTGCCAGAACCCAAATGCACAACATATGAGATGTCTCAAGGTAGGAGGACCGCATCTGGGGATTACAAAGAGACTGTGGTGAGTCGATCTCTCTGCGGGCACTGCCCGTATGCTTGGAATATTGTGAAAGGTGACGGCACCAGTATGTGTTCCACATGCCCGGCCTAGAAACACCACTGAAGAAAAAGCCCCACAGAAACCTCAAAAGGAGCCAATATGACAAGTACGTCGATTTTCGATAGCCTTGGGGTTCAAGGGGCCTACCATACATCCCGTCTCCACTTAACTATCCCTGCAAACTACCAGACAGAGGCGAGGGCACTACATGAGGGAGCCATAATTACAAACACACCCTGGTCCCCAACATTCAGACACGTCTCCCAATGCACTTGGGTGTACAAGGAATACTTAGTCTTGGGGGTGTGGCGGTCCCTCCAAACCCACACGAGGCCCTGCCGCAGGTTCCGTCAAAAACCCTTTACGGAGAAACCCTAGATGACTCTGAGCCCTATATGTCTCCGTATAACCCTTTTAAAGTGTTCCCGCGGGCCCCGTCTGAGTACTCCCATTTTAGTCTCCAAGGCAAGCGGCGCATGAACTGGACAGCTAGTCCAAGCTCCTCTACCGGAGTAGTCCAGAGTGCACTGGTTCCTCATCCATGACCAGGATGTAGGGTTGAGGCATTCGAAGCCCTAAACTTCCTTTACCCTAAACCCTGATTTGTTTTAGGGTGCTGCGATTGGAGTTTCGTGTTTGGGGCTAGCGTCTTGGTTGAGACTCTGGTCATGTTTCATTTAGAGTGGCTTTGTGCTAGATGTTTAGGATCCTCGATACCCTAGGAATAAGGACTCGCTTTCTAGGATAAATACAAAGAACTTAGGACCACGCAAAAAGAACTTGCCTAGCGCAGCCTAGGCATTGGGAGCTCAGGTTTTTTGGGGCCAACACTTTGAAGGATCAAAGACTTGGGCTTTCGGTTGTGCATGCGGTGTGGAAGGTATACATTCAGCATTAAGTGCCTCAACTCCTGAAACAATCTTGGAAAGTTGGTAGGCTGCAAACTGCTCAGCATGGTCTCCTTTCAACTACGTTTCTTCTGTGTTGGGTGAAAGTCGCTGATAATTTCGAGGTCTCCAGGCCTTCCGTCACATCCATGGGGCGGAAAATGCACAAGGCATGCTCTTGGCCAAGCCACACACTTTTATCTGGGTTTGGGGCAACAAGCTGCCAATTTTACAGTCTGTTTAGGGTTTAGGTTTTCTGGAGATGAACTAGCCCGTAGGGACCTCCTTGACCCTCACCCACATACACGCTTTATGTCATGTGGGGGTTTCATTCTCAGCCGGCTCCAATATAAAGGCCAACATATTACAGTCCTCGTTCTGTGAGGATTCCTAGGAGGGCAACCCTGGTTGTTGGGACCTTGCTATTGCCACCGCACATCCTAGACCTCAAAAAGACCAGCTCTGGAGCACGTCAAATTTTGGAAGGCTTGTCATGCGGTGTGTAGATGTAGACAGCTACACAAAGCTCTACCATTTCAAGGCCGGCGATGCGGCCTTATGACGTCATTCCTTAGGCAGCATTGCCTTCAAGCAGCTGGAAAACCCGAACCTTGCGGGCGCTAAAACCCCAAGACTTACCCGCCCTAAACCTCCCAGCCTTATAAATTCTTAACCCTAACCCCGACAATCTCTTTTCCCTAGCTCTACCTTGTATCTGGGAGTAAAAGCACGGGGCCCTGAATTCTGGGACTCCTCTACGGCTAGCATACGGCGTCGTTCAGAGTCCTCCTAAAGAAGCAACGGAACCAGATGCGCATCCCTTCTTTATGGGGTGAACCAAGTAAGATTACATTGTTCTCATGAAGCACCAGTTGGAACTATAGAATCCCGAAAATACTCTACTACTCACGTTAGGGGATCATATCTCCAACCGCCTTAGAATATCTGAACTGCCTAAACCTTCACCTTAAGCCCTAATCCCATAAGCCCAAGCACAAATCCTAAACCCTAAACCCTAAATCCACAGACCATACCACAGCTTAGGGCGATGCGGGCTACATAGGATGCAGCGCGCACTCTGCGCCTGCAACGGCAGCTATTCTTCATAAAGGACGATGGATATGTTTAGGGTTTAGGGTTTAGGATGTGGGTTGTGGGCTGGGTTTAGGGCTTGGGGTTTAGGATTCTAGTCCCCCTTAAGTAGATAGACTATGGCTTTGGGTATATTAAAATAAGATCCATATATACCCTAGACATCCCTATACTCTATCTACTTCAGGGGACTATATGGATAAGTGGGTTGTGGGCTTGGGGTTCATTGTCTGGGTGGCTTCTGCACATGAAGATAGCCTTATTACGGATTACTGGGCCATATGAGTTCGGTGGATATTTTAGGGATGTGCATGGTGGTTCTTGTATTCCGGGGCTCCAGAAGCGGGGCCTCAGGAACCCTACGAGTAGGGAAGGTACGCAAGTCCTAGTCTACGAGGATAATTTTGATAAGCTCCCACAGCAAGTACGGAAAGATGGACGGTGCTGTGGGGGTCAGTCTAGAACACTGTCAGCATGTAGGGACGTGTCCAAGATTGGGGCTTTCCCCGACAGCTCTAGAATCGACTTCGTGCTGGCAAATCCTAATGTAAGTACCCTCGTCCATGTTGACGGGAACGTTTCACCTTGCACATTTCTTGGGTGTTCTGGGGCGGCAGAAATTGTGGCCCACAAGCTTCATGAACGAGGCCGCCGGAGGCGAGCAGGGCTCCCAGCAAAATCTTGGATTCAAGATGATTCAAGCACAGTAGATTCCTCTCATACTCAACTTCCCGTACACTCTATGATTTGGCACGTCACCCCTACATTATGAATGGGCAATACAGCTAATGCTGAACAGGTTTAGAGGCATCTGTAGTACCTTCCATGCGAGCAGTTGGACAGCGTGCTAAATACAAGCTCACTGCAATGAGATGCAGGTAGACGAAGAAAGTCTGCTTTTTACCCACAACCCCCTTATCATACAGCGGCATCCATACGCGAGTAAACCGGAAAAAAGGCCGAAACAGCAATCTTAAGACCGGCCTTTGCAGGGTTGACTCCATAGTCATATGCCACGGGAGCGGTGTGGCTGTTGGAGTTGGAGTAGTAGTGTGTGGATCCTGGGTTGCTGTCAGGGAACTTAATTCAAGATACTATATTGGGAAGCCCTATTATTTACTATATATACCCATTATGGTAACTAAAGACCTAAACCCTAAACCCTAAATCCTATACCCTAAACCCTAAACCCTATATAAGTTCTTTAACAGCAACCCAGGATCCGGTAGGGTCGGAGAACTCGGCGACGAACTCGGAGTCGTCGGCCTGCGGACTCGGTACATTTTTTTTAAAGGATTATAGAGTATATAAAAGGATTTAGGGTTTAGGGTTCAGGGTTTAGGGTTCAGGGTTTAGGGTTCAGGGTTTAGGGTATAGGGTTTAGGAGGATTCTCTAGGGATAATGGAAAAGAAAATGGAAACTACTATTATAGTATATTGGGGTTATATAGGGATCATGGAAAAGAAAATGGAAACTACTAATTGCGGTTATATTACATTTTTTAAGGGATTATAGAGTTATTGGGATAATGGAAAAGAAAATGGAAACAACTATAATGGGTTATATAGGGTTATATAGGGTTATAGAGGGGTTATATAGGGGTAATGGAACAGAAGGGGTTATAGGGTATATAGAGGGATTATCTTATAGGGGTAATGGTATATAGGGATCATAGGGTATATAAAAGGATTATCTAGGGATAATGGAAAAGAAAATGGAAACTCCTATATTATATAGGGTTTTATAGGTGTTATTTGGGATTTTAGATTAGGATTATCTAGGGATAATGGAACAGAAGATGGAAACTACTATATTTGGGGTCACATAGGGGTTATAGGGTATATAGAGGGATTATATAGGGGTAATGGAACAGAAGATGGAAACTACTATAATTTGGGGTCACATAGGGGTTCTAGGGTATATAGAGGGATTATCTAGGGGTAATGGAAAAGAAGATGGAAACTACTATATTTCGGGTCACGTAGGGATTGTAGGGTATATAGAGATGGTTCAAATAATAATCTGGTCCAATGCTCCCTAATTTTCGGTAAGGCTTCCCAGTTTTGCTAGGTATCTACTCCCCTGGAACCAGCCACCCTCCGGGACCGTGCAAGTTGAATTTAATGTTCCGGGCTGCAGGAACAAGAGGCTGCATCTCTCTACTTAGTCCCAACTTGGATGACAAATGAAAGCGACCCCATTCCTCTGAAATTTGGCATTCTATCCTAATCTACGAGCATCACTGACGGAAGCCTTGTTAAATGTCAGGGCTCTCGGTCTTCATTGGCGCTCTCAAACTTTCACTATTCAGCTGCAGTGGGCACGGTATAGGGATGCAATGGAATCACAGCTGCCACCCTTCACGCCAGCATGCTAAGATTTCTTAGGATGAAGGCTGCCTTCAATTCACCCAAGAAGTTAATCTCATTTCTATGGGAACTGCAAAGGTCAGGTCTTTGATGGCCACTTCCTGAATGAAGGAGCCTCACCCACGTCTAGCGGCTCGCTGAACTCGGGGACTAGCAGATCCTGCGGCAAGGGCCCAGCCCCAGGGCTACAGATAAGGATGTATAGGCTTTAGGGACGTTGCTGTAATAATGGAACATCACATGGGAAAGACCGCGGAAGATGACGTGGAAACTGGGGTTTATATACGGGTTAACTAGCCCAAAAGTAGCTATCAATTTACACATTTCCCTTCCTCTGCTCGGTCTTGGGCTCTTTTGCAGTTCTATGGATAACACCAATCCTGTCAATCCCCGCCTGAAGCCCCTACACTCCTAAACCCTAAGTCACGCAGCTCCCTCCAACGATCTCTACCATGGGCTTGCCTACACAGGAAGAAACGGTGCTTTAAGTTTCGCAGGAGGGCTGAAAGGATTTTCGCGGTACTGACACCCTGATAAGCCAAGACAAGCTACCAGCAAAGAAGGGTCAAAATCTGTTACTTTGAGTACACGGGCTGGCCTTTCAAATCTCAAGCCAGACAGCCTCCCTTCCCTTGTCCCAAATATGCTTTGCGTTGCAGTCCTTGGCCGGCCGCCATGCCCAGGCAGCAGTAGCCACAAGGGCAAATGTCAGCGGCACGGCCACGATCCCAACCCCTCAGATGCCGGAGAATTGGAGTTTCTTAGGTTCCTGGGCCCCAACGCGGATGAGGGGTATACTCCAGGAACTACCATCAAGCCGCCATGTCGGCATGACCCCTTTTATAGGCTGGTAGCTGAAAGCGTGGATTTCGGGGTTGATATGGGTATGTCTCAAATCGAAGGCGTGCTGGCATACCACCGAGAAATGGATTGATGTCAGAACAACCGTCAAAAGGACAGATGGTTCTGTGATACGCCCCATGGAATGTGACTCTACCTTACTACGACTCGAGGGATTTCTGCCGAGAAACCTTACTTTGGTTTCAACGAATTCGCGCTATTTATGAGGAAGCTGACCCAAAACGCCTGGAGCTTAGCCTGAACACCAAAACCAATAAAGCATCCTCACATGGAGCCCCATGTAGCCACCGGAAAGAAACATTAGTCTAACGGAACCTTGTGTCAGGTTCCATGGTAGTTTGGGGTGCGTACAACACCAGAGCCCCGAACCCAAATTCCCAACCCCTCCAACGAAACTGTGCCAGGATAATTTTCCTTCACAACCCTCAAACACGAAGATGATATTTCAAAGGTTCTGCCACAATCCTCTCTGTGATCCAAACTGAAGCCCCAAACATCTTTGAGCCCTACTGTAAAGCCTACCTCAAACCCTAACATCACTCCTAAGCCTTGAGCCCTTGACCCCCAAAACAAACGATCTCAAGGCTCCGAAGACGGCCACGTCTGTAAGCCCAGGCTTGAATACTTGAAAAATCCAAAACCACGCAATCCCTCCCATCACCCCAAAATAGTCCATTCCTCCAATAGAAGACCATCATGTTGGTACGGCCCCCATTCAGTAAGTACGGCCCCCATTCAGTAAGAGTTGGATAATAGTTTTAATATGATTGTATATAGCCGTTTGTATTGTCCCCATTGTAGACTGCCACTGGGTGGGGGGCAGTACCTGACCAGTATATACTAAGGCAAATATCTATTATGGGTGGGGTTGAGGAGGCTTGTTAGGACGGGGAGGGATTAACCCAACTCTACATTCGAAACGCGTCTCTGGTTGGCAGTCTGGAGGACCTCAAAGCATTTCTGAAAAAGGATCCCTTGTACAATAAGGTAAATCAACATGTATCCCAATGTGCCACCTGGTCCTTCATCAGCCCTGATCCCAAAGCTTGTCCCCGAAACTTCAAATCCCTCACCTGAGCCCTGAAAAATCCTGCAAACTAGCCCCAAAATGGGCAAAGCCTCGATCTCAAACATTAAGCCCTAAACCCTCAATCCCTAAACCCCAAATGAGCTACTGTCTAAACTCCTAGTATCCCCCTTAATGACCCATGGTACTTCCCTATATAATCCCCTATATAACCCCCTTTAAGGAGTTTAGACGATAGCTCAAATACCGCCCAGGAGCGCTTGAGGCTGCAAGTTCGGTTTTGCCCTGCCGCTTCGGGCAGGAGCAGTTCATCTTCGTCCTGGCTGCGTGGCGACTACTTTGAAGAACTTTGGGGGTAATACTGGGTTAGGCAACCTGCGGCGCGTTCTCATGAAAGGTTGCGATATGTTTGCAATAGGCTTTATGGGGATAGTAAACTGCTGGACCCCTCGTTCCCTCAAAGAAAGGGTTCTACCTTTTCATTCTTTATCTATTAGTTTCTATTGGCGGCCAAACAAATGTAGATTGTATGACTCGTGGCTGTCATTTAAGGTCTCCCCGACTGGCCCAACATGTGCACTCACCGATATCCTAAGAAACCTTACATACACTCACGAAACATGAAAAGAACAATCCTACTTCATGTGGCTTACAAGGTCTAACAACCCCTCCTAGAAGGGCAAGCTGCACGCGCACGCCTGAAGCAACGCTAGCCCAGAAAGCGTACCCGCTAAACACCATCGGCATCCTTGGGAAGTTGGAAATTGCCCTTAGAGTTGTTACATTGGGTCGTTTGTCTGAAGGGACGTCACAAATCTGAAATCCTAAGCCTGAACAGCGGGCCTCTGATCCCTTCAAGAAGCCCTCGTAGTATCCCTCTCTGTATAGCAACACGCAGCACAAGCGCACAAATCAGACCTTATCCCTTTACCCTTCAACCCCAAACCCTTTACTCCCCCTTAAACCCTATAAGCCCATATGAGCTATAGTCTAAACTCCTAGTATCCCCCTTAATATCCCCTGTAGTAGTCCCCTAAAATAATCCCCTATATATCCCCCCTTTAAGGAGTTTAGACTATAGCCCATATCCTCTCAGGGCATTGTTCAGTGGAAAGGTCCTCCTGTGACAAGCCGCCAAGGCGGTCCTCCACCATCCTCACACATGGCTTCTGGTTTAGGGTTTAGGGTTTAGGGGTTTAGGGGTTTAGGGTTTAGGGGTGTAGGGTTTAGGGGTTTAGGGGTTTAGGGGTTTAGGGGTTTAGGGTTTAGCTAAGGGGCCTACGGGTTGAGAGCCTAAAAGGGATAAGAGGCTTTCAGATCTTTAGCCTGCAGCGCTTGTAGAACTTCAAATGGGCCCGCATGAGTCGATCCCTATAAACCCTGGACCTTAATCCCTCAGCTGCCCTTTCGAGCAGAGGCTGAAGCAAGCAAACCCCAAGGCTCCAAAGCAGGGTGCAGTTCGAGCATGTGCACACGGTTGGGGGCTTAGGGTTTCCAAGATAAGGGCACATGTTCACTACCAAGAAATGAATCCTCAGTATATGTAGACACACTGAAAGGTGGCCACCAACTTAGACGAACGCTCTTCGGACGCTTGCCAAAATGGGGGACTTTTCTGAGGGTTTAATAGGGATTACATTGACGAACTCGTAGTTATTTGGGCCTTCGTCATAGGAGGTTTCCAGCCAAAGCCCCCAAAATATCTAGATCGTAAAGCGAGATCTCAGGAAACTGAACGGGCTTCACGAAGGTGTAAGTGTAGGGTTGGGGTCTAGGGCTTCCAGGCCTAGGGTCTAGAAGGAATGGGGGGACCGGATTGGAGATATTCTGCTTGGAAGTTACTTCTAGGCCTACACAGGAATCCTTGCCCCCCTTCCTCCCGACCAAGCACCAGGGAGTCTTGTGTTTAGATGGGGTTGTCCAAAATTTACGCTGTTGATGGACTCTTGGGTGAAAAGTGTACCCAATCCCCAAGCAGCCTCATCCATGATTCAAGAAGAGGGTAGATCCATCAGCCCTCTTCTCTTCAATCGCCTTTGAGCACTGGCCTGCCCTGCCACCCACACAAAAACTTAGGGTCCCAAGCATGGGCACCACCCAAAAGCAGGGTCATACTGGTCATACCTTTTGCGCATACTCATGTTCGTTAAGAAGGTTGTTTGTCAGCAGCCCTTCTTGCATCTCATCCCTGTTGTGGGCCTCATTGATTTTTCCAAGGGATACTACAGACGCCCCCCAACCTGCCCCAATTTCTTGGGGAACCCCAAAGTCGCCCTGAAATAACCAGCAAGCTTGTCCACGGACCGTGAATTTCAAGACATTGGACCGGCCTTGCTGCCAGGCGTTTTAACCGGCGACCGCTGCTTTGATCTAAAATGCCAGCAGCAAGCAGCACGGATGATGTGAATGATGGTTATGGTCACATATTTTTCTTACCCGTCAGTGAAAAGGACGGCCACAGCGGGGTAGGGACTGGGCCACCATCGGGAGACTTGGGGAGTACAAGGGAGGCTTAAGGATTAAGGGATATTGTGAGTCCAGGGACCTACCCCCCCTGCGTCATCGCCCTCACCTTGTAAAACTACAGCCAGCAATGCCAAGACCGCAGAAGACTAAAAAATTAGAATGAACAAGCCAGAATGCTTCGAAGTGGAGTGAGTGGGCAGCGTGAGATTTGGAGATGTCAGTTATGCTGGGCGTTGCCCCCGTCACCGCGTTTGAACCTTTCATTGACGGACTTAATGCGCCTCCAGCGCGGCAACGTTGTGTTTGAGCTTGAGAGCAGCTCGAGTACTACCCGCAGCTAGTAGCTTCCTTTTTTCCAGTATACCCATATCTACATATATATCCCCCCCTATAACACACACCCTAAACCCTGGGTAGGCGTAGTACACTGGTGACTAGTGAGGCCCAGCAGTGCCAACGCGCATGTTCCCCATATTTACCCTCACTTAGGTAAGTGGCCCTTTCACTCCAAAATGCAAACATGATCTAGACCTGTGATTAATAAAACCCTCCCTTTAACAGGGGTTATATTAGGGATCCTAACATTTAAGGCCCTTAAAAGGAGGGGGTTATTAATCACGGGTCTACATTACTTTACCAACATTTGCCCTCATGTTTTCCACTAGCGGTCCATCAATGGCCAACTCTTCTGAGAAGCTTGTCGGCATCAGTCTCTACACGGGGTGGCAGGGGATTGGCGAACGTGTGGTCAGCCAATGCGCTTACATCAGAACATGGCCCGAAATATCTAGGATGTCCAAACAAATCACAATCCCGAGAATCCTCTCCTGGAACTGAAGCCGGGTCGAAATTATCAGGAGGAAATGTGCTGAGCACATGGCTGACCAACAACCCCCATCAACAAACCAGGTTCAAGAACCCCATCGTTTGGAAACTGTTCACATTTACATAGTAGTTTCCCAAAATCAGGGGACCCTAATATAGACCCCAAAATACTAGAACCCTTATTATAGGGACCCCCAAAAAGGTACCCCTAATTTTGGGAACTACCCACACCTTTCGGGGAGGTTCGCGGGTGGCACACCCTACGAATTTGCCAACCCTAAGCCCTAAATTCCCAAAGAATAGTAGGACTAATAGTAGTAGTACTCATAGTAATGGTACACCAACCCTCATATATACACTGTTTTAGTACTACGAATTTGCGGTAGTTCTGAGACACATGACCCCTAAACCCTAATCAAACCCTATATAACCCTAAATAACCCCCCTAAACCGAAAACCCTATAACCCTAAACCCTAAAACCGTAAACCCTCTCTCTCTCCCGTAAACCCTAAGCCCTAAAACCCTAAAACCCTATAACCCTAAATCCCCTTTAAA